GAAAATTTAAGTTAGTGGGTCTCAACAACATGCTAAAATCATCTAGGGGATTCCTTCTTGGGCTTTTGGCTAAGATCAAGTGTAAAATTCCAATGACTGGGCCTCATCTAGATCTATGGGATCAGAATCTCTCTGTGTGGTGCCCAAGCCTTTTTATTTCATAAAAGCTTCCAGAGGTGATTCTAATGTGCAGCTGGGGCAAGAGCCAATGGTTTGTATGGGTTCTCATTGCTGGGTCACCACTAGCAAATGGTAGAGCAGGTGATGGAATTCAGGGCTATACTGCCACTCCACACACAGAAGATGATATAGATATAGATTGTGAAAATATAAGTATAGATATACACATACCTGTTATTAAACTTTTTTTCAGTTATCGATGAATGTCTCAATTATAAAATGGACTATGCACTGTTTCCTCTTCTTGCTCCTTCCAGTATGCCCATCCTCATGTTTCTGCTTTCTGCCGTGGTCACTAAACTCCTAAGGAGTGATATTCCATGTATGTAACAACCAGACAGCACAAGCATTGACCTACCAGAACAGACCCGGACTTAACACCAGAACAGGATTCAGGCTCTAACATTTTGATCACTGGATCCTAAAGAGATGAGGGATTCCCAAGGAAGGGTAGCATTGAGGTGCCACTCAGAGGGCTCGAGACAGCAGCTGTTTACCAAATGGTACAGAAACAGTTCAATATTTTAACAACAGGTACAGTACTACTAGTGTCTGCTTGTGCCTAGACTGAGGTCTGAGTATTTCTTTAAAGTTCTCAGTTGATCTACCTATCAGGCAACCATTTCATGTCTCTACCAAAGGATTGCTTCTTGAGTGTTAGGAGGAAAAGGAAGAGGCTGACAAGCAGTCTGCAATCCACACCGGGCTGCCCACACCAGCTTCTGTGTGTCTTAGAAGCCCCACCCCGCTCCCAGCACCACTCATTTCTAACTCCGAGGGGGTTTGTCACTTTGCTGGCTGTTGCTATGTTTCTGTCCTGAAGTGGCAGCTCCAGTTGTGTTTCCCAGATAATTTCTAAGATTCTAATTGCCACCTGTGGATTTCTTGTAAACACTGTACTTTACACATGTGGTTAATCAGAGAGCTGTGGACTATTTTGAGGAAGCATGTGTGCATGTGTGTGTGTGTTTTTGTGTGTGTGTGTGCTTCACTACTGTGGTGGGTTTAAAGCACAGGCAATATTTGCTCACAAAACTGCATAAGCAAAATGGCAGGGAAAACAAAATTACAAAATACCATAAACTACAAGTTCACAGGCTTTATAAACAACTCAAGTCAGCCCAGCAATTCACCAACTAATTTCTGGAACCAAGCAGCAGGAAGGTAGCAACTCTAAAGGAGACTTTGAATCATAGGTGCTTGTGTTTCATGGAGAAACCAAACCTCAAAACATTTTTAAAGGTTTTTGGTAAAGTACATTCTCCTTTAAATTCAAGATCAATCTTGTGCCAAATCCTAGCTTTTTCATTGCAAATTACCTGTACCTTTAAACCTCCATTTCCTCATCTGTAAAATGAAGATAATAATTTCTAAATCACAGGCAATAACATGTGAAATGTTTATTTAGTATATTAGTCAGAACTGTTTGGGTTGCAAGTGACAGAAATTCAAATCAAAGTGACTTAAGTAAAATAAGGAAATTTATTGTTTCAAAAACAAACAAAAAAAGACCGAGGGTTCTAGCTTCAGGTACAGTTGCATCTAAGGGCTCAATGACTTTAGAACTCTACGGCACCCTCTCCATTTTGGGGCACTGCTTTCCTCTACATGGCCCTCATTCTTGGGCAGACTTTCCTTATGGCAAGCTAGTAGACTAGCCAACAGCTCCAGGCATATATTTCATCTTCTCAGCAACCCCAGTGAACTGGTGTAGATTGCCCTTCAGTTGGGAAATGACCCCTCGCTCATTCTCAGACCACCTAGTTTGGGTAGAGTTAAGTGCCTACTCACTTTATCTACCCAAACTCCAGAGACATACACATAACCAGCCACATATGTGAAGACACACAGGTGGACCTTTGACCCCCAGACCAAACAAGACAGTTCAAAAGGCAGCTTGGCCAGACCTGACAGTGCACATACAAGGGAAAATTTTGTGTTCCAACAACAGGATTTGAATTTCAGGACTGATACTCAACCTCCCATATAAGCCAATGTGCTGAGTGACAAGAGAGAGAGACAAGTTTGCTCAACTCAGAAGGTGCTGATTAGCCCTTCCCGCATGTGCTTGTTTCAGTCCTGGGCCATTGGTGGAGAGTGAGTGGTTCACAGACTCAAACAGAGGCACATCTGGCCAAGGTAATCCTTTCCATCTTCTGTTTCAAGCTTCTCTGCAAGCTCACAGCAATTCCTACAGGAAATTCTCACCATACCTCAGCCTGGGATTCTGGTCTTGAAGGTATAGAACCCATTGCTCTACTAATCACACAGTGCCTTTATCCCATCCTAGTTAGGCAAAATCCCATCCTCTATCGCCTTCGTTTCCATTGCCCCTCCTCTTCAATTTGTCCCCTTGTGTAAGGAGGGTTTTTTTAGTATGATAATGCATCAAAGTTACCCTGTGAGAGTTGATTGATATTAGCCATAGAGGTTTGAAGGTCTTTAGGTACGCTGCTCTAAAAAATGTAAGAATTCAGGGCAAAGGGGTTTTATCAAGACAGACAAAATGAGCAAGTGAAGAGGAAGGCTGGAGACCTTGTTAGAAAATAACGGAAGGGTGAAGATCAAGATAAAGGGACATCCTGGTGTCTAGGAAAGGCAAACTTAGCTGACGATAGGTAATGCACATAAAACAGAAATGTGAGCAGCAGCCTCTGGGCTCTGAATCAATTCCCAACTAGCTATGAAGAACATTAAGTTCTTTCTGACAACAAATTGAGCTTATTTGCATTTCTAGTCATTGTTAGTTAAAGTAACTGGGTTAGATGCAGCATAAAGTAATGGCTAGGAGCACAAAATTTGGAATCAGATAACTGGGATTTGAAACCAAGATCCTCTGCTTAGTGGCTAGAACACCTAGGGCATGCTACTTCTGTTTTTGTTTCCCTGTTGGTTAAACGGGGATGAAAATAGCATCTACCTCCCAGTGTTGGCATGAGAAGGAAATTAGTTAATACCTATGAAATAGTTAGAACCAAACCCAGCTCATAATAAGCACTTAGTATATTTTAGCTACTATACAATCAGCAACTTGGACTCCCTTCCATCAGAGGAACTGCCTTGTCTACGTGGAAATGGTTGATTGGGTGAGTACCCCAGGAGGAGCCTTGGGTCTCTCATAGTCACAGAGGCAAAGTGGGGGTACCCAAAAGGAGTGTGGCTTGCACATAAGGAGCTCTGATTTCCTTCCAAGCTGCCACTTGCTTATGCTGCACTTGATTTCCTGACTGGGAGGGATTTTTCTTCCGTTTGACAGTACTGTGGTGAGCTCTCCCACTGGTTTACTCTGAAAATGGCGAAAGGTCTGCAGCACAATTTCCTCGTCCTAGGCTGAAAAGACTTGGCATTATCAACTCCAAGGGGTGAACTGGGTCAGTCACAGGAGGGCACAAATGGGCGTCACACTTTGCCAACAACTACAAACTAGCATCATAAGGTAGACACTGATGTCAGTGATAGGTGTTCCCAGAACTGCAGAGGTAAAGGCTAGTTAGAACCCAGATGGGCTATCCAAGCATCAGAGATGAGAGTAGAGATTAGACCACTAGCTGGCCCAAAACAAATACTGCCAAAATGTTTGCTTTCAGCTGTTGTAGCCCAGGGTATCCTGCCAAGGAGACCTTTACATTCTGGCATTTCCAGCTTCTCTCCCTTTATTGACTATCCACTCAGGTCATCCTGGTACATTGAGTGTACTCTAATCCCAACCACCTCTCGAATTCCTTTTATCAAGTCAATTCCTTGCTCATTGCTCAAGCTTAACTAAGTTTCAATCTCATCCATGAAGTTTGCTTTGACCACTTCCTAACCCTCTGAACTGACAGCTCTCATTCCCTGATACAATCATGTGGAATTATACACCGTCTTATGACACCTCTCACATTAGGGCCTTGTAGCAGAACCAAAATCCCTTGGTTTCACCTGTATAGTGTCCCTTATCCCTTCTTCTGGTAGTAATACCTACCCAATTTTTCTTTGGGAAACTCTTGATCCATGTGGCACAGAAGGAGCTGACCACACACCTCAGCTCCAGGATCTATATGTGACCCAGGCCTAACCAATCAGCTATTCCATCTCCCTGGTCACAGTGATTAGTCCAGGGATGAGCACATGACCCAAATCAACCCTAAAAAATACTGGGCAGAAAAAGTGTACTCTTTCAAAATACTAGCACCTACCAGATGAAGAGAACTTACTGAAAATAGGGCTGATTCAGGAAAAAGCAGAGCCAAAAAACAGGAGGGAATCAGATGGCTGAGGACATTATCTAGATCTCTGGATACAGATATGCCTAAACCTAAATTTTCCATGGACGTTTTTAGTTATATGAGATAATAAATTCTCTCCATTTATTCATTCAACGAATATTTATTGAAGGCTTACTGTGTGCCAAGCACTGTTCTAAACACTAGAATACATTTTTTTACTTAGTAAGCTAAGTTTCTTCACTTGCAACTGAAATAGTCCTAGTCAATAAAGACTTCAAGTTTCTTAATTCATGCACTGTTATTTAACTTTCCTCAAGTGGGTGCCTCTTTTTCCCAAGTAGATCATAAGATCATTGTGAATAGAGACCCCATACTATATTTCTCTGTATCACCAACTGTGATATGTACATGTGATAGAGTTTGGACATGTTGTCACTCAAAACTCAGGTGTAAATCTGATCCCTAACTTGGCAGTGTTGGGAGCTGTTTGAGTCATGGGGGCGGATCCCTCATGAATGGATCAATGCTCTCCCTGGGGGTGGGGGTATTGAGTATCACTCTATTAGTTCCCATGAGAGCTGGTTGTTTAAAAGACCCTAGCACCTCTCTCTCTCTCTCTCTCTCTCTCTCTCTCTCTCTCTCTTTCTCTCTCTTTTCTCCCCTTCTCTCCCTCTCACCATGTGATCTGCTTGTACCTGCTGGCTGCCCATTACTTTTCACCATGAGTAGAATCAGCCTGAGGCCCATGCCAGATCCATGTAATCTGCTTGTACCTGCTGGCTGCTCACCACTTTTTGCCATGAGTAGAATCAGCCTGAGGCCCATGCCAGATCCATGTAATCTGCTTGTACCCTCTGGCTGCCCACCACTTTTCGCCATGAGTAGAATCAGCCTGAGGCCCATGCCAGATCCATGTAATCTGCTTGTACCTGCCGGCTGCCTGCCACTTTTCACCATGAGTAGAATCAGCCTGAGGCCCATGCCAGATGAAACTGTCCCAGAATCATGAACTGAATAAACCTCTGTTCCTTATAAATTACCCAGTCTCAGGTATTCTGTTACAGCAACACAAAATGGATTAATACAGCATGGTAA